CTGCTTGAGTGTGTATGGTTAACCCACAAAGCAATTCTTTGTTCCTAATGGGCTCAAAGTGCAGTAAGGAATCTGAAAGATCCCCAAAATCCCAATCCTAATCCCAAAATCCTAATCCCCAAATTAACATGAAGTTGAGTGGTGGAGGAGCAGCTTTGCATGGACGTAACAGTGGAAATGAAAATGCGCTGTGGGGCAGTTTTTGCTCCGTATTACAGATGTGGTTTATTTGCTTGGGTGAACGGGTGCAAAGCAGATTCCCATGGATCCCAACCACTATCAGATATGCCCTGACCCATGCACTGTTCCTTGTGCCACACTCACCACTTAAACAGAGGAACTCGCAGGCGAATTAACGCTTTTTGTTTTGGCCCTGCTCTGTAGGATTTACTTTTGTGTTGCAAGCAGAATTCCCTTGGCCCTGATACTTGTCCCCTGGCACAGATGATGTCCTGCCAGATGGAAAAATCTGTCAACATTTGTTTGGGTAATGAAGTCCTTTACAAATACTTGGCCCGTTGCCCGTAGTTGTTTGGCACCGAGAGAAGATGTAGAAACTTCACTCATGCATAAGAATTCGTGCGTGAGGATAATTTAAGGGGTGAAGGGTCGTTAGGAGGAAAGGAATGCTCTAGATGTTCATAAAGCCTTGAGTTATGTGAACGTTGCCCTGTGCAACCATGTGGTGTGATAACATACATCTTGCTTTCTGCGTTTCTGTATTCCTATGGCCTGAGAAGGAGCATTGGAGGCCGCCAGCAGAGGCTGCTTGTAGCTGGTTCTGGCACACGGAGAGAGTGGTTAATCATAGGAGCAATTAGCCAGGCATTTCTGCGATCTCCTAAGTTTCCTTAGTTCAGTCAGGATTTAATGTTCACAGCTACAGCTGTGCCGTAGGAGGGAGCAGAGGATTAAGTCCCAGCGTTCGGCTGTCAGCCAGGAAAGGAGCGTTCTCTGACATGCAAGTAGTGACCAAGGCTCTGAATATTTCCACGTGTCAAATCTTTAGCTAATTTGAGCGCTGTATATTTAGCTTCCCTGAGCAGAAAAATGCAACCTTTTGGTCATCAGTAGCTTTTGGGGACGTCGTCAATACCGAGACACCGAGTTCTAATCGTTTTCTTGACACTTTTTGTCACACAGGTTCATAGCCAAGAACATTATGAAGCTGCAGCGCCTGGGGATAACCCATGTTCTGAATGCAGCAGAGGGGAAGTCATTCATGCATGTGAACACTAATGCAGAATTCTATGAAGGCACAGGCATCACATACCATGGCATTAAAGCTAACGATACGCAGGAATTTAACCTCAGTCGATATTTTGAGGAGGCAGCTGATTTTATTGAGAAAGCACTTTCCCAGAAGGATGGTAAGGCAAACTGAAATGTCTTTCTGCCTTATTTTCTGTACGCTGCGTATGGTTTAGCTCTTTATTTCACTGCTTGAAGTGGTTCTTTGCTCTGATTTTCAGTTGGACAGGCAAACCAGTGATTCAGATCAAGCCTTGGCATCAAAGACACCTGACTATTCAATAAAACATCTTAGTCATCTCTCTATGTATGTGGACCTCCAGTATATGTTAAGTGGAAGTCTGACATTTTAGGGATGACTTTGCAAAGTGAAACAGCAACTGCATCCTGAAGTAGTGGCTGTCTGGGAAGACGTGCCCTTATTATTCCTCAGGCAGATGAAAAGCCCAGAAAGCAAATACAGGATCTAAAAGTAGTTTTACAGCATTGGAAGGCAAAAATGATGCAGGTAATGCATTGCTGAACTTGCTGCATGTTTGCTTCTCAAACATACAGTAAGGATAGAGCCTGTCTCTATGATCTTATTATTATTTTATGTCACAATTACCCCATTAGGCCCTGGGATTCCAGGAAGGCTGGAGACGCTAGGTGAAATGCTGTTGATTGCCACATTTCTCTAACAGTGTTTCCACAGAGCAGAAATCCTGGGGCATAGTGCAGTGGGTCAGAAGGTGCTTCTGCTCTGACTGTTGCAGCATACCACTCGTTTCTACATATGCTTCATTTCTTTCTTGCTTGGTGACTAAATGTGAGCAAAGAGGAATGAGGATTCCCACAGTTCCAAGAGTTCTGTCCCTGAAGTGGGCAAAAGGGGAGCTGCAGCTGGGATGTGAAGTTAAATGCCAGCTCTTGCAATTAGTTCTATGACCCACTGATACAGCCTGCAGTTGGAAGAAGTGTTCAGCACTGCCAGCTGTGCATTGGTCCCCACCAACTTCAGCTCATCTGATCAGAATCGACAGCAGCACTTCTGCTTTGCCATTCTTTCCGTCTAAATATTGCCTCCTGTGATTGCTGCTGTTTTCCTGCCATGGTAAACAAAAGAACTTTGTAGCTGGGTGGTGGTGGAGCCAGGTTTGAGATTAACTCACTACTTAAATATGATAGGGGATTTTTTTTTTGCAGGGAAGGGTAGAGCAAAAGCAGTAGCGAAGTGATGAAGGATGCAGTACTGCTCTCTCCTGCAGTTTCATTTCAGCTTTGTAGCTGCATGAGGTTCTGGAGGGGAGCAAAGTGAAGGCAGGGCTGCTGTACCCAGATCAGCCCAGGATTCTCACTGCCTTTCACAGAGGAAGGCCAGAAACCCTTTTGCTTCTGACCGTAGAAAGGAAGTCAGTTCTCTTCCACATGCTTAAGAATCTTTGAATCCTGCTAATTCATGGCTGCAGGCTCTCAGGAAATGTAAAGAATTAATTGTTTTAGCTGTTCAACTCGCTTCTGATTAGAGGTTTGCCTCAAGCTGAGCAGAATATGCAGCTCAAGGCAAATATGGTAACAGGCTTCCGAGCAAGTCGTGGCCTCAGCAAGTCTGTGTGGTTCATCTGTTCTGTGGTCTCAGAAAAGAATTTACTCTGGAGGGGAAGCCTGGGGTTGTATTTTGTGTCTGGAAAAGCAGGGCAAAGAGGAAGCAGCTGAGAAGCAATAAAAATGAGTTAGGTTTCTCAGAGGGAGCAGCAGCCTGCTTAATTATTGTTGGATGCCAACTGTCAGCATTTTTCCAATAAACATGGGAATAATTTCCCTAATCAGTTAGCTGGAAGCTTTTCATTGGTGCTGGCAGAAGGTACTTCTGGTTCTTGTTATTGCATAATTAGTGGTTTCTTTTACTTGAGTGTTAGTGTGATTCATAGAGAGCCAGACAAGCAGCCAGGTACGATCCAGCACGGAGTTATCATGGGAATTGACAGCAGTGCAGCCAGAAGGGTGGATGTCCTTGAGGAGACACAGTATGTGACAAACAGCATCTGTCTGCAGCGTATTTTAAACGGTGCATCGTGGATTCGTGCTGTTTGGTACCCAGTCATCCTTAGGTACAAGACATTCTGAAATAGAGATTGGAGAAATATAGATAGGTGCAGGCTGGCCTTCATAATGCAGCAGCAAATACATTGTAGTGTGAGTGATGTAGAACTGTTAATTCTGCATTATCCACACGTCAGGCTGTAGCAGCTATCGCAGCCATAGCATCAAGTTTTACGTATCTCCATCAGAATTCCCAATTCAGAGTCCTGGGGGTTCCAAAGGACGAATTGTCGCGATTTATTTCATGCTGCATTTCCATCCTCTGTTCCATTATAACCCACCTTATGACCTGTTTTCCCTGCAGGACAAGTGTTTGTGCATTGCCGTGAGGGCTACAGCCGTTCTCCTACGCTGGTCATCGCCTACCTCATGCTTCGCCAGAACATGGATGTCAAGTCTGCTTTGGTCACTGTCCGGCAAAAGAGAGAGATTGGCCCTAATGATGGCTTCCTAAGGCAGCTTTGTCAGCTAAATGAGCAGTTAGTGAAGGAAGGCAAAGTGAAGCCCTGAAACAGAGCGCTGTAGTGTTTTTGGGGTGTTTTCTCAAACCATCAGAGGATATATGAAGTGCTTTAGATTCCTAACCCCCCACCCGCCAAGCTAAGTCACGTTGTGTGAGGGAGGCAGAATTCCTGCTCTTGTCTAGTGAAGGGATCTTTCTCAAACTGTGGGTCTGTCTTTCAAGGTGGCACAACTTGTTGTGTCGCTTGTGGGAGTTGTTGCAATATAGAGGTGTCTTTAGAGGGGTCGCTCGGGTGAGGACAGCTGTTCACACATGTTTCAGTGCCCCTTTGCAGGCTTTGTAACATGCTTTGCATTGACATCCCGTTGCCTCATTCAAGCTTTGTATTTTACTCCACCAGAGCACTGTTTGCTGAGAGCCCCCATACATCTCTCACTCCTCATTGAAGTACTGTGTTTTCTAAAGCTTCTTTTTCATGCACACAGGTGCCTCGAGTTTGAGTGTAGGAGCTTCAAGGAACGGAGCAGCATATATGCAAATGCACAGATGCACTCTTGCAAAAAGAAGTATGCAGTATTGTGTTCAGTGTGGATATATGCAATACACAGTGTGTGGTAGTAAAGCCATTCAGAGCCTGACCTTGATGCACACTGTATTTCCAAGACTATTTGTACCACTTGCTGTTGTGATTGACGTGAAATAGTCTGATATTAAAGTTTATTTTTATTATAAACTCACACTCTAAAGAAAATGTGGAGTAAATGTTGAGAAAAGAACTCCAGCAAGGGAAGAAGAATGGCTGTACTTAGGAGTGCTTGTACTGGGTGTATGATGAAGCGTGAAGTATCAGAATGGAATGGCTTCTGAGGTTTGTATTGAACCACAGTCTCCCTTCCTTATGCTGTTGCTGTTTATTAACGTGGAATAGCAAGATGATATCTACAGATTTCTTCCAGCATTGCAGTGCAGGTGTGCTTACAGAGCATTTTGTTGGTACACTCTGACTTGAATTATTTGCATGGCTCCATTCAATAGAAACCACCGTTGTTACATGCCACGTGGAACAGAAAGCGTTTCCTTTCTATTAAAATAAATCATACCTTGATCCTGTTGGACATGCAGATGAAATGAGTCATTGCAGTGATGGGAGAGGGAGCCTTGTTTACGGTATGCTGGAGTGGGTCTGCGTGTGCCTGTCAGTTATTGCAGCTCTGTGAATGCAGAGGATCTCCCTCTACAGCCTCAGAACTGTTGGCTGTGCTGTCAGAACCCTGGGAGGTTTGTGATCCCTTTTTAGCTTTGCTTTAATGAGGGTCTAGGTTTAAAATCCTAACGCTGCTTTAACTGGAAACACCTGTATTAATAATCCACCTGAGTCCAAATCCAGTTTTGTGTATTCATCTCACTATAAAAAAAATCACAGGACAGACATTGTTAAGCTTCTTCAAAGATTTTGTAACACGAGGGTGGAGGGGAACGAAGAAAACTCTATTAGCAATTGATTTAAAGTGCTGAAACAGTAGATCCTGTGGTAAGGAACTGATGGGTGACTCAGAAAGGACGTTATTTTAGCAGTATTTGAGGCTAAGCAGGGACTGTAAAATCCACATCTGCCATAGAACAAAGATATCTGCCAAGTCAAATCCAGCGCAGTGAAAGAGATGCAGCAGCTTGGGCTTTTTGTGCTCAGTTGGAGAAGTTGGAAGGTAGAGGGGAGCGGGGGCGAGGAGCTCTTATCTTACAGCAAGGAACAAAGGAGGATGTTCAGATAGATAATCATCCCTCTGGAATGATGATACATGCAAAAATGAATCCATCTGAGCTGCGTCTCCCAGCCATCAGCACCCGAGGGAAGTTTCCAACTCAGAATTTCGATCCAAAGGAAAAATTGTGTTTTCTGAGTGCTGTCCTCATCCTTCGGTCCTGCGCTGTTGGCAATGACAATCTTGTGTCTAATGAGCTCTTCTGAGCTGTAAGTAATTCAAGGCCAGGCTGGATGTGGCTCTGGGCAGCCTGGGCTGGTGGTTGGCAACCCTGCACATAGCAGGGGGTTGAAACCAGGTGAGCATTGTGGTCCTTTTCAACCCAGGCCATTCTATGGTTCTGTGATAATGCTGAATGCATTTCCAAGAGAGCGTTGCAGTTGGACACACTTAGCAAAGTTATTTCAAAATTAGAGTTAACAGCATCCTAAGACCAGACTGGCAGCTGTGATACATTGTTGTAATTCCCTTTAAACTCTCGTAAGTGTTGGACACATTTTCCTCCTAAAGATGTGTATGTCTGGCTTACCTCCCAGTGCCAGGAGAGTGCATCTTCCAGCAGTACCCTGCAGATCCAGGCTGTGTGTGTGTGTGCTCCTTGAGCTGGAGCAGCACTCCCATCCGACCCATCCTCCTCCTGCAGAACAAGGCAAAAACAGCAACACAACACATCAGCAATGTTCCTCGCCACAGTGTTCCCACTTCTGTTGTGCAGAACTAACCAAATCTGCTACAACTGGAAGCAGTGGTTTGTTTTGGTCACAACCCTGAGGAAGTATCTTCCAGGGGGTTGCAGGTGAGAATGAGTGTCCTTATTCCTCATACAGCAAACGCATCCTGTGCATGGCATTACAGTGCAGAAGCCAGGTGAGCGTTTGCTGTTGCTTTTTCATTAGGAGTTGGATTTGGAAATCTACATCACCGTTCTGAAACTGCTGTTGACATCTGTACATCATATAACGATCAAACTGCCATTGACAGCAGTTCCCCTGTTCCCTTTTCACAGCTCCTCTCTTTCTCCAACACGTTCTTGTATACCTGGAGCTCAAAAGTTCCTTTTTAAATATAAAGCAAGTACTGCTAAATAGATATGTGTTATATATATATATATATATGTACATATGGGAACAAAAAGTGCTGTGGGAAGGTTTGATGGCACTGACCTGACACTGAGCTGGTGGCTGAGCTGCTGCCTTATGGAGCCGGTTGTGTTTAATTGCTGTCTGTAACTTTTGAATGGGCAATGACTGTATTCCAGTTTTTATTCTTTGGACAACGAATTCATTCCTTCTGTTTTGGAAACAAGCCCTGTAAGTGGAAGCTGTGGGAGTAAGTCAGCTGAGGGTTTTTTGGTTGGTTTTTGTTGTGTGTTTTTTTTTCTTCTCCATATTTTAATTCCCTGCCAAGGTAGCTGGCCAGCTGACTCACCAGATGGAGCTGTAGGCTCGTTGTTCCCCACTAAGCAGCCCTCATTCCATCCCTGACCAAAGCTGTTATATGAATCTGATGTCTTGGCACCAGCAAGGCAAGCAGCCAGAACCATTCAGCAGCACATTTACTGATCTCTGGTGTGAGAACGATACGGATCCGTTTGCTCTTGGTGATGTAGAGGAGTCCATGCTGTAGCATTGGGACAGCAGGGTGATAAATGGCTCTGCGGGATCCCTGGGAGAGAACAGGGCTCGGGCATGGGCAGCTCAGCAGTATTTTGGGGAGAGGACTGCTTGGGAAGCAAGGGAGTCCTTCAGAAAGTGGATTGCTGGGGCGGTGTGTAGGTGATGGGCAGAGTTCATAGAGCTCAGGCTGTGCACATCCCTGAGGGTGTGGATGCCCCACAGAACCCCCCTTGGTCGAGGGAGGGCAGTGACACAGGGCAGAACTGACTGCAACAACTGGGTTATGCAGATGTCTTCAAAGGGCAGAGTGAGAACAGCAGGACACAAAATCTTGAGCCTAGAAAGCAGCAGCCAGGGATTCAGGATGAGCACAAGATGCTGTTTTACCCCCTCTACCTGCACCCCAGTCATGTCCTGGAAGCACAGAAGCACATATCTGATCCTTAATGAGGCCAAGGGAGAATTTTTTTCAGCTCTCATTATGGCAAACCCAAACTCAGCGCACTCTCAAAGTGTCCTTGGTAGAAATCACAAACATTTGTTGTTTGCTTTTTTATTTTCTCTTGTGCTTCATTAACAGAGCAGAAATCAATTGCTCCTGGGGGCTGCAGCCTGAACTGTTCCTGCTTGCTGTGCTGTGAGCAGGCAAGCAGCTACAGGACGTGGAAGAATGTGTTTGTAGTTAAGGAATCTGAACGTCCCTGGGATTCTTTTCTTACTGCTGTCAGGCTGCCCTTGCTGAGGTTTTGTGCCAGAGGCAAAATGCAGCTTCTCATTTTCACCTTCAGAGTTTTGCTTTCTGCTTCTCCCAGCGGGTGATACAGATAAATGTTCAGACAGTTTGTCAGAGAGGGCATCGTTCAAGTGCTTAGAGAAACCTTAAGAAAACCTTTACATCTTTTTCTTGACACTACATTGTTGTGAATGCGCTTCCTGATCACTTTTGGAAATATTCTCTGTGCAGAAATTAACACAAACTGAGCTTTTATAGACAAAGTTATGCCATTCTGAACACATTTGAATAGGATAAGAAACGTAGAATGGCTTGGGTTGGAGGGGACCTCAAGAATCACGAAGTTCCAACCCCCTGCCACCCCCAGGGCCACCAACCTCCCCATTTCATAGCAGCCCAGGCTGCCCTGGGCCCCATCCAACCTGGCCTTGAACACCTCTAGGGATGGACAGGGCATCCACAGCCTCTCTGGCAGCTGTTCCAGCACCTCACCACTCTCACAGTAAAGAACTTCCCTTGAGGAGCAGTTAGCAGTGCTCACTGATGATGGGGGCTCTCCCATTCATCCCTTGGCTGTGTTCTGTTGTGCCATGTGTTGTCCTATAGCACTTGGAAGAGGGTTGCTGAGCTGGTGGTGTTCCTGTCTGACAAAACACGTAGTTTGGTTCCCATCATCCTTATTTCTAAAACAATTAAAGAAACAAAAGAAATCACACGGCTCAATTATAAGACTTGCAAGTAGAGCCCAAGAGATCATCACACACAATTTCAAGCTTAACTCATTAAGCACCATAGCCCAGCTTGTTTTCAAAGAAAGATAAAACCAAAAGCTGGAAATCCTGCATGGAAGATACCTAAGCTGGTGTCTGTCATTTCTTCAGAATCCATTTCCCTCAGTGCTCCCATGGTGCTCCAACACAACATTCCTCCCTGCTGCATGGATCTGGAATCCGAACACATTGATTTGGAACTGAGAAAAATTACAGTTGGAAAAACCTTTGCAACGCCTCAGAATTTGGGTTTGGGGTGTCTGTGAGGCCATCACTATTCACATCACAATTGCTTTGGGTGGAAGAGGCGTTCTTAATTGAAAGAAATGCAGTGGTGCTGCTGCAGCCCATTGAATGGAGCAGGGAGGCTGAAGCTCCCCCAGCTCAGCATTCAAACGCCTCCGCTGTGCGTGTCTGGGGGTGTGGAAGGGCAAAGAGGTGAAATGCCCTCGGGTCATCACTGCTGTTTGGATGGATTATTTATCATCAGGGTCACCCCACAGGAGAGCACATCTCCGCTTCACGTTTGGTGACACCTGTTTTCTGTGCCAGGGCAGGGGAATGGCTGGAATGGAATGCAAGCCTTAGGTAACGAGTTCCCTACAGGAACAGGGGGAAACCAGACAGCCCCAACTGCTCCCACCCCTCACAGAGGCAGAGGAGAACTCAGAGGCTCCTGTTGATGTTCTGAGCAATGTTTCAAAGTGCTGAAACTCGGTGAATCGCTTTGGAATCTCTTCTACATGCATGGGGATGGATGAGACAGACGTTGCAGGAACGTGCACAGGTGTCCTTCGCTGCTCTGAGAGCACATTTGCTTTCAGTGGCTGTGATGAGCTCAGCGCAGGGTCTTCTCTCACAGAAGGGCTCTTCCTGATTGATGTATTTAGCCTGATAGCATCTGCAAACACCACAGAAACATTTGTGGCCTTGAGATGCAGAAATCACCCAACCATCCTCATTATTGTCTACAATTCTGCAAGGAAAAAGAATACCATAAATGAGATTTTGGAACACGATGCATTAATAACACTTAGGCATAGCTGCCTTGGGCATAAGGGCATCATCTCTATCTTTTCTTAGTTGCATCATGCAATGAAATCAGCCTGGCCACGATCCTGTGTTTAAAATAATCTCATGTGCTGCACCCAAGCCTTGTGCAAAACACCAGCAGAAGGAGCAGCGTGCAGTGATCCCACATTGCATGTATTGAAAATAAGAGAGAAAAAAAAAGGGAGAGCACCTCAGAAAGCAGCACCTGGCTGCTTGCCCCGACAGCCACACTCCTCAGAGCTGATTTCTGTTAAATAAAGCAACTTCTCATTTTGGAAGGAAGCTCTTTCCTTGTTTCTTTCGGTGCGTTTGTGACACAAGATGCCAGAACCCCAAAAACTACAGAGAAAGTGGGGCTGCAGTGCACACTGCTCCCATCAACCCGCACTGCTGTCAGACACAAAACCCAACAGCACGAGGAGTTTGGAGGTGGAAGTTGTAGAGTCCTGTCAACCAAGCCACCCCCACGCACCAGTTCTATTTCACACTGACAAAAGCTGAGATGAATGAGTTGCTGTCTGGCCCTTCCCACTTTGGACAGCCATTGGCTGGCTTGGTTCTAAAAAGGATTTAAAAAAGGGGAATGATTTGCCTGGGCTTGGGAACTGAGGCTGTCAGGGTGCTGAGGAGCCGAGCCGTGAGCTGCCACCATGCAGATCTCCTGGGCTGTGTGCTCTGTCTGCGTCCTCATCCAAATCGCATCCCGGGCAGCTGGAGGATGGCAAGTGTTCAAAAATGATGCGACAGAAATCATCCCTGAGATCACCGAAAATACAGAGACCCCCATGGAGCAGATTTACAGCAACAACAACACGATGAACCAGGCAAAGCACGGGGGAAGGCACATACAGCAAACTCCGGACCCTAATGGTAAGACGAATCACGTTAGATTGCTGTTTTGGACCCTAACAGTTTGCAAGAGATGAGGTGTTATCAGAACCTGTTTTTTTAGTCAAATAGGTGTGGAAGGGAATTAAAGACTGAGGAGGAATCGGGGTGGTGGGGTCTGAGACCCCCAGCACAAGTGGTGCTCAGCTGGGTGAGCTGTGCTGCTCCGTGTCCTTTGCTAACAGTGGATTTTCAGCTGGATTGCAGGAGGTAACAGGAGTTAGAGCACTTCCAAAAGGAATTCATGCCCAAGTGAATGGGAGAGGACCCTCTTTGGCAGAGGTTTGGAAGTAGGTTGGGTACTTAATAGGTTTACTGCATTTGGGCAAATGTGTTATGTTCACAATGATGCAAAACAGCTTTGGGAGGACGGACAGAAGGCAGAGAGAGCAAAGGAGTTTTTAGAGGGAGCACTTCTGGAAACGGGGCAACTCAGTTCTTTTGGACCTGCATTTGGCTGCCAAATGCAGCTCACTCAAAGCTCACCCCATCACAGGGGTCAGAAGGGACACATCTGGAGGTTAAAATCATAATATTAAAAGAAAAAAAAACCTAATGATATTTTTGAGTGCTGCTTCATGGAGGTCTGAAATTCCCCAAAGGGAGCACTGTGCTTCCTGCAGGCAGCCCCACATCCCCAACTCAAGGCAGGTTGGTTCACTTACATCTGCAAATCCTGATTTGGAGCCTCTGATTGCTCTGATATCCACTGGGGTCCATACCACTGAAACGTGCATGGGGTTTGGGGTGAAAAGGAGGGAGTAAAATGTATTAACTGGACAGGGTATCAGGGTATGCAATAGCCTTGTATACTTATTTTTATGTCTTTGACATAAGGAATGAAAATGCTGATCCAAAAGCAGCCAGACCTTCCGGGGTCACACGAGATTGCAGAACAGCATCAATAATTTTGCAGTCTGTGCACCCTGTGCATGCACAGGGCAGGTGACATATGCACAGAAAGGACTGGCAGACTCAGGCTTCCATATGTAAGCTGCGGATTTCCATCCCAAGTTGTGCTCATGACTCAAAATGATACCTTCTCCCTAAGAGAAGAACATTACCGTGTGTTCCTCTAGATGGAGTTGTTTGATAAACATCTTCAACAATCAAATTCTGTGTGTTGCAAGCAGGTCAAGTAGCAGAGCATCCCAAGTGGCAAAAGAGGCACCTTTGGAAAAGGAAAGTTCCTACAGTGAGAAAGTTCGTCTAAATCCTTAATGTTAAAAGATTTCTATTTCCTGATGTTTCGTTTATCTATAGTTATCCAATAGGAAAAAAAATAAGGGGGAAAATACCCCACAGAGTTCCTTATCATCTGAAAGGTGCCTCTGAAAGATTTGGGATTACCACAGAAAGCAGTAAGCTTAGAGAACATTACGACTGAAGACTGGAAATTCCATAGCCCTGTTGATTTTCCTCACCTTGCATGTTAGCTCAGAGACACTTCAGGAAAACTTCCCTTCTGCAGAAAAGTTTAAATCTGGAAGGAACCTCTGAGGTCAATAGAGTTGAACCAGAGCATTGGGGAAGGCTTTGTCTGTGGCAAATGAAGCCAGTAGAGTAAGCGCTGGTGCTGGGCACCCCCTGAGCTCAGTGCTGACCAGCACAGCCCTGCGTGGGGTCTGCCCTGTGGTGGGGGCAGGCGTGGATTCATCAACCTATCCATGGTGGTTCAAGGGTCTCACAACTAGAGCAGCCTTGGCGTCTTTGGAGACCTCAAACCCATCATTCAAGGTGATTGAATTACAGTCTGCTTGGTTGGAAGGGACCTTACAGCCCATCCAGTTTCAACCTTCTTGCCATGGGCTGGGTGCCCCCCAACAGCTCAGGCAGCCCACTGCCCATCCATGGCCATGGGACCTGCAGGGATGGGGCACCCACCGCTCTGGGCAGCAGTGCCAGCATCTCATAACCCTCTGAGCAAAGAATTTCCTGCTCTCATTTGATTTAAATCTCCCCTCTTTCAAAAACCATTTCCCCTTGTCCTGTCACAATCAGAACAAAAGCACAATCAGTGTAAAAAAATCACTCTCCATCTTTTTTATGAGCCCCCTTTAAGTACTGGAAGGCCACAGTGACATCTCCCCACAGCTTTCTCTTCTCCAGGCCAACTCTCAACCTGACTCCATAGGAGAGGTGCTCCAACTTCTGAGCACCCTCACGACCACCTCCAGACCCTCTCCAACATCTCCACATCCTTCTCAACGCGGAGGGCTCAGAGCTGATGGCTTCCTTGTGGATGGGAAGGCAGCAGTCACACGCTAACACCCTTCTCCTTTGCAGATGTCTCCGACTTCAGCTGCAGAGAGATGCGCATCACCCGCTACGTGACGGAGGGGCCGTGCCGCAGCCTGAAGCCCGTGAAGGAGCTGGTTTGCTCGGGGCAGTGCGTCCCATCCCACCTCCTGCCCAACTCCATCGGCAGAGGGAAGTGGTGGAGGCAGAACTCCCCGGATTATCGCTGCATCCCGGCTCACACCCGCACGCAGCGCATCCAGATGGCGTGTCCCGACGATGAGACTCGGACTTACAAATTCCGAGCGGTCACAGCCTGCAAGTGCAAGCGATACACTCGATACCACAACCAGTCTGAGCTGAAGGACTTTGGGAAGGAGCCTGCCAGGCAGCAGAAGAACAAGAAATCACGTCTGTCCCGAGCCAGGAGCAGCAAACCGAACCAGCATGAGCTGGAAAATGCCTATTAGGAGGTCGTGCCAAGTGATGCAGCCCAGCAGCTCTGGATATTTTATACCATATACAAAAACGGCATGCACAGGCCGAGCACAAGGGTCTGACTGCAGGTGGTTCCAATTCCTTCTGCTACGCTGGGTCTAAGGCTCACATAGTCAAAATCCATCAGATGATAGCGGTTATGGTCTGATAAGAGAATGAGATAAACCGAGCTGGTGGGAGCAGCAGCTACGTTCAGTTTGAGAGGAGGGGACACCCTGGGGGTCAGCATGAGGCCACCTGGTTTGTACAAGGAGGGGGAGGCGAGGCTGTTAGGGTACAGCCACAGCACACCTGGTTAGGAGTCGTTCTGCTTGTGGACGTGGAAGGAATGCCACATCCCTTTCCCTTTTCTGAATCCCGTGGTGCAGGACAAGTGAGGTGGGGCACTGCAGTCCCATGGGGTTGGGGATGCTGGGGTTGGGGAGGCTGGAGCTGGGTCTCAGCTGGAGCCAGGCTGCCAGAAGGGAACGTCCTCTGCCAGGTGTCCTCATGCCCCAGTGGTTTCCTTCGAGAAAGAAAACCAAAATATGACATTTGTGCTCTTGTAAATGTGACCAATCCATGTCACACTTCTAATTAGAATGCTGTAGGGCCAACAGGTTCAGAACTGAGAACTGACAACCAAACCATCCTATTCTTTTAGGAGCAAGGGTTTGGGTTAGGACCAGTTAAGCGAGTTCTCCTAAGGGAAGCAGTTTTAGGAAATGGATGCTCCTCTCAAGAGAGATAACCTCACTGATGTTTGTCTTGTAAACAGCTAATGATGTGCACAGTTTAGCATTTAAAAAATACTGATTAGTCCTGCTTTCCTAGTACACAACTGACTTTAGTATCAACCTAGATATCTCAGTGTACATTTCCTATTCTGTAGCCTTTGAATGACTTGGCCATACACCTTGTAGAGCTAAGACTGTGCAAGCCAAGTTCTGGGAGAAGGGTTCTGCATGAGAAGTGGGCCTCTGCTAATCTGAAAGTCATGAATTCCTTTAGAAAAATCTTTGTTATGTGCAGCTCTGGTACATCTTTAGTTTGACAGCAACTGTACTTCTCAACATTCAGACTGAAGTTTGTTTTTCCATTAAAGAATATTACTGGGAAGTGAATAGCCACACGCTGTACGTATCCTGTAGAAGTGCTAGGCCTAGAATCAGACAAACACAACTTGGGATAAAGGCAGTTCCTCTCTGTTCTTATTTTCTGTCTAGAGCTTATGCAGAGATCATACCAACTATGGCAATTTGCCATGTTGATTATAGATTTTGCAGTTATTTTATGTGGGACCAGAATCTAGAGAGAAAAGCTATTGTTTCAAAGAGTGAATTATGTATTTATTTTGTCTCAAAAATTATTTATGCAACGTTTTCCCTTGTAGAGAATGAGAAGTTAAACTGCTTGAAAAATCTTAGTCTGTTATTTTGAATTTTAAATACATTGGTAATAAAGTAGAAACAATGATTAATTATGGGAAGACTCCTTGACTTTCAGCTGCAATATGGAGCTGTTTGCTGTAAAGGCAGTGAATTACAGAACTGGGGCTTGGCTCCAGCCTGGGATGTACATTTCTATGATGCAGAGCACCGAGATCCTTAATTTCCAATTAATAAATGACACTTCTCTAAGGTTACTCCATATTGGAGCTTCTCACCCCTGGCATGACCATTTCTCATGGAAATACCAACTTGGGCAGATGTGGAGCTCAGGGCCCCACGTCACCATTCTCATTTCTACTCCCCAGGGAAAGAGCAGCTCAGCAGATTTCAGCTCCCCACCTCCTCCCAGTAGCACTGATTCACAGGTTCTCAACCTGGGAAACCCACTAAAAAACCCCAGAAGGCCATTGGCTTTCAATCAAGAACTCTCGATTGACATTTGATTAGAATCATAGAATCATAAAGGTTGGAAAAGACCTCTCAGATCCCCAAATCCCACCACAACCCATTGCCACCATGCCCACTCACCGCGTCCCTCATTGCTTCACATTTCACTCATTGGAAGACACCAAGCAAGAGCTGCAAAGCAGCAGCCAGTTTTTAAGATAACAACATAGACCAATGCCAATGCAATTTAAAAGGTTAAAAAACAAAGCCCATGAGCACATGCTGGTTGCAGGTCTTTCACAGATTAAGGATCTGCTGCAAGTGAGCCACCAGCATCTTTCTCCCTAAAGATCACCACCAAAAAAACAACCATAAAACCAAACCAAAAGAGAAGGAAACCATCAAGAAAAGAAAAACACCAACAACTTCCATGCATTCTCTTCTACCAGGTGTGCAGACGTATCCTGCTGTTAAGCTGCCATTCAGAGTTTTGCACTTTTCTGCCTTACAACTAGATCTCTGTGCACTGGAAAAGCATTTACAAGAGCACCTAGAATAGGACAGAAATATAGAGGTGCTTTAATTAACCCTGTCTGTGTTTGCTGGAAGCATTTCTTAGGGCCCAAAGGCCACGCTGAACACAGGCAATGCCACATCAACCAGAGATTTGAGAATGAGCATCTGCAAGAGAATTCCATTTGTCTCTCACACCAAATCTATGCACTCACAGTTCCTCCCAAACAAAAGTATTCACAACATACCCAGAGGAAACCACTGGAAACAGCAATTTTATGGGCTAACCTTGAACTGTGTTCCTATGCACATGGCTTCCATGGGACAAACTCAGAGCAACACAACCTCCCAAGGGACTTTTGTAAGGCCCAAACACACCTGCTATTATATTCAGTGAAAGATAAACTCACAGGCAGCTGAAATCCACCAAGTGCCAATGGTTCTGCTTGACACTGAGCTCTATAATTACAGAGTGTCACTCCATCCATCCCAGATCCAGGCAGCAACTCATGCAAGAGCTCCACAGCAGTGCCTGAGGAAGCCAACCCTGAGAAATACAGGAGGAAAAGCAGAAGGAATAATCACATACTGTTTTAGCCACCTGGTATTAACTTGTAATTAGCTTGTTGCACTCAAGGAGCAAAGTATATGGGAGTACAGAGTGACTCTTCTGTAATAAACAGGTCTTAAATTAATATGAAACGTATTTAAATGTAGCTTGAGTTTGGATTGGATGCAGTGTACAGCTGAATAGACTGAAAGCCCTGTGCTAGGCAGGTAGTGGGAGCCCACCTTTACCTAACCCACGTTTTTGGGAAAGCCAGCCCAGGTTATGCTTTCATACAATCACGGAACAATTCAGGTTGGAAAAAACCTCTAAGATCCCCAAGTCCAACCCCAACCCATCCCCACTGACCATGACCCTCAGTGCCACATCTCCACAGTTCTTGAACTCCCAATGATGGTGAGAATCCCTTTGTGCCACAAACAGGCATCCCAGGTGGGGCAGCTGTGGTGTGAATCACTTTCTGCCATGTCTTGGCAGCTCCAGTTGGCATTTTCCTCCTGCTTGGGTGCTCTCTATTGAAATCACCTCATAAGAATCTACACAGCCCCCAGAATGTTTTTTTGGTGCCTGAAGGAGAAATGCCATCACCTCATCCCAAAGGGAAGGATCCCCAGCTCCTCACTGAGCCACAAACCCAAATTCTTGCACCTCCCTATTGAAGGCTTCCACATCAGACTGAGTTTCTGGTATCAGCCTTCAGGTTGAGTTTTTATTTCTCCACTGCCTTCCAGGCAACTTAAGATATGCTCTCAGCCAAGGAATTGAAGTGTATTTATTTAGTGGTTATCAAGCCCCTAAATTGAACAGACATCTTTATCACGTTGCCAACAATTTAATGCTTGTGGCATGAGGTTCGTTCGACGTCTGAAAAGAAAGCTGCTCAGCTCTGACTAAATAAATAAGTGAGGTCATCCTTCATTCAGGCTACCAGATTCTTTGGTGCAAACATTATGAGAGGCCTTGGGACATAGTGGCTCCTCTGAGACTATTTCCATCTGGACTAGATTCTCTAATCTCTTCTTCCTTCCTTCCTTCCTCCCATCTATTTCCTTCCCTTTCACTATAAAGTAGCCACTATTTAACACTAATGTTCCCAGTCTTTTAGAATGGGGTGGGTATTTTTTTAAAACCAGAAATAAGGCTTAATTTAAGGTAATTACTCTTCCATTTGGAGGGTTTTGCTATTTGCAGGGCCTTATTTTTTTTTGTAGTCAAACTAGCAGAAGTTAGTTCTAAAAGTGATCGTTTTCTGCTAAAATTGTTCTTCACTCCTTATGAATTTCTGGGTGGCTGCAAACAAAAGTATTGCTCTCAGGAAATAGTTACCAAGGGGAGAAGGCAGCAGCCTTCCAATGAAGGGAGGAACTGTGTGTGGAATTTCAGCCTGCTCGTCATTCACACGGGCCTCAGGATAAACTTGCCTTCAGGTCAATGGTGTGAAGGTCTTCCTATTGAAAAACAATGTTTTTCTAGGATGAGTTTTGTTGTTAACATCCACAGTGTGGCATCAAGAGGTAGAAGGCTGTTGTGAGGATTAGTCTTTGCACTTGCAAGTGCCATAACAGCAGTGCTGTGAGGAGTGAAAGGTGTCAATGAATGGAAACATCCAATGGGGCACAGGTCAGGGACAAGAACAGGTGAGTAGGATAACTTCACTGGGAAAACTGGCATCATTTTGGAATTTCAGTGTTATATCCTCAGACACATCCCTCCTTTTGAGCTGGAAATGCTGTTTGACCAGAACGGAAGGATTTCAGACAGTTTTCCATGATTTGGGGATGCTTGGAACCAAAGGGCAGGCAACTGACTTCTGCACTGAGTAATCAACTCCATCCACATTCAACGTAACTCCTAAGCTACGCAGCCCTCAAACATGTAATTCTGTCTTGGGAAGCAGTAGTCACTCTGTTTGATTTGGATTTGCTCGTATTTCTCTGCAAACAGCAATGAGAATTTAACTTTTAATATAGAGATATGTAACATATTTTAATATGTTACGTAGCAGGCAAACTGGTGGCCTAAAAGGAGGGGAAATTATGTGCTTGATATCTAAAGTGATGAGAAAGAAGGGGACAGATCCTGTAGCAGGATCTGTTGTGATAGGACAAGGGAAGGTGGTTTCCAACTAAAAGAAGGGGATTTAGATGGGATACAAGGAAAAAGTTTGCCCAGGGAGGTGCTGGGTTCCCCATCCCTGGAGACACCCATAGTCAAGTGAATGGGACTCTGAGCAGCAGATCAAACTGTGGGTGCCCCCATTCACTGCAAGGAGTGAGACCAGCTGGCCTTCAAGGGTCCCTCCCAACTCAAAGCACTCTATGACACAATTCTATGAAAACCATCTGGGGCATTTCATGGTATTTTAGTCATGGAGGTCATAGCACTCCTCTAGGAAAAATAACTGATGTGTAAAGCGTCCACGGTAGATCAATTATACTAAATGAATACGTGCTAGAAGAAAGCCTGCAGGTACATTAGGAAAACATCCAGGCTACAGAGTTCTTCGTGTGCCCAGCGAAGGCAGCGAGGGCTGTGCGGTATAAATATGAAATAATAGCAGAAGGAAATTAAAACAAAACAAAAGCAAGTTGAACGTTCTGGAACTTCCAAGAAAAACCAAAGGCTCAGCCTGAGAGCAGCACGCGGTGCCCTGAGCAGTGAGGGCTGTGCAAGATTTAATTGCAGAGTGAGCAACGAGGCAGAGCCCATCCCAGCAACGGGAGAGGACAGAGTTAGCTGCTTTTTTTCTCTTAGAACATCAATTTTTTTTTTGCTATCTCACCTAGGATATGGTTTCTTACATAAATATATATAGTGTGATGTTCTGCATTTTCAGCTCTATTTTTTTTTTTTTTTTATCTTATTTTTGCCTTCAAAAACACTGGAAAATGTTCTTAATGACTGTGGGAGTGATTAAGATGTGCATGCAAAAGGAGCCTCAGTGTGTGAGTGCTATGGGGAGTCTGGAACTGCTGCTCTGGGGCAGTTGCTCTCCTGTTGCTCTCCTCGCTGTGTTTTATACCATCATTACTGATTCCCAATTGCTCTTCCAATTACTAGAAGTTGACCAGCAATTGATTCCCATAGAATCCCCTACCCACGTAATCATCACTGCTGATGACATTCTCCACTCCTGAGCAGTGCTACCATCCTACCCATAAAGAAGCTATGAATACAGCACTAGCTTTTTAAGCTAGAGAAAGAGCACTACTCCTCTCCTTACTCTCTCACAGTTAAACCCAAATCCACGATCGCTGTCATGCTCCTAACCTGATTCACCTTCTCACTACTTATTCTACCAAAACATTCACCTCCACAAACCCTCCATCAAATAAAACTACGCCAACAAAACCCACCCCTTGGGCCTGATCATGAACCTAAGCTTCTTTGATCAATTTTCAAGCCTTTTCCTTCTAGGAATGCCGCTAATCCTCATATCTTTCTTGTTCCCAGCCCTCCTATTCCCACCACCTTGTGAATGATGAATCAACAACAGCCCCTCAACC